TGAACAGAACCCAGCCCTGCCCTCCCAGATCCAGTGGGAAGGCAGACTTGTCCCCAGGTAATAATGACTCAGTAGAATTCACAGCCTGGGATGGAGGAGCCCAGGAGGCTGCAGGAGCTCAGAGCGGGTGCCTGACCCAGACTGGGGTCAAGGAGGGCTTCCTGGAGGAAGGGACAGCTCATCTGATACCTAGAGGATGAATGGGGGTTACTAGGTATAAATAGTGCAGGGAGAGGGAAGAGTATGTACAAAAGCCCAGGGTTGAGAGGGAACCTAGGGGCTTCCAGCAAGGCGCAGCGGCTCACACCTGTAATCCCAGCACTCTGGAAGGCTGAGGTGGGCGAATCATCTGAGGTCAAGAGTTCAAGACCAGCCTGGCCAACATGGTGAAACCCTGTCTCTACTAAAATACAAAAATTACCCAGGCGTGGTGGCCTGCACCCACAATCCCAGCTACTCGGGAGGCTGAGGCACGAGAATTGCCTGAACTTGGGAGGTGGAGGTTGCAGTGAGCCGAGATCACACCACTGCACTCCAGCCTGGGCAACGAAGTGAGATTCCATCTTTCTCTCAAAAAAAAAAAAAAAAGTGGGAACCCAGGGGCTTCTAAATCCAACCATGTCCTGGCCCTGATTAAAATCTCCTACGACTGCCCTGGCAAACTCTTTAGTTTGGCATTCATTCATTCATTCAATAAACATTCCCTGGAGTGCATTGTCAGTGTCAGGCCCCAGGGGAACACAGCAGTGACCACGACAGCCCCACCAGACCGTGACCCTGACCAGGGAGCTCACGAGTGCAGAGACATCTACTCCAAGACCTGAAGGAGGAGTAGGAGAGATGCTGGGGAAGAGGCAGGGAAGGGTGTTCCTGGCAGAGGGAACAGCCTGTGCGAAGGCCTGAAGGTAAGTTTTGCATATGACACCTTTGAGAAACTACTCATTGTTCAACTGAAGCAGAGGCTTGTTCAGAAGAAGTCAGCCTTGTGGCCGGGTGTAGACTTCCTCCCAGGGCACCGGGGAGCCACCGTGGAGTTGTGAGCAAGGGAGAGACAGGGGTAGGCTTGTACTTCCCAGAGACTCCCCCAGCTGCCATGTGCAGGGTGAATGGAGTGACGCATAGAACCCAGTTTCAGGGGGTAGTTTGGGACTTGGACCCAGGTCCCAGGGAGAGAGTCCAAGGAGCCCTTCTCTGGTCTTCCAAGGCGCTGCTCTCCCCAAGTTCCAGATGGAAGGCGTGCCCATGGCAACCGCTAGGTGGTGCCCGTACACCACCAGCCAGGTCTTTGTTTGCCAAAAGTAGATCAGGCCCAGAGCTGGACAGAACTGCCCCGGGATCAGGAGAGCAAATCCTCTCTGTCTTTAGGTCCTGGCTCCCTGGCCAGGCATCCTGGGCCCATTTGACTCCCGGGCTCAGGAAGGAGCTGGCTGAGCTGCAGCGAGTATGTTCTTTGTCTCTTTCCTTACCTTGGAATCTCAGACTGAAGCCACGTCTCTTTCCTCACTTTGGAATCTCAGACTGGAGCACCCTGGCTCCCACTTCAGACAGGGGGATTCTTACCTCCCTCATCAGACTAGCAGACTCCTTGTCTCCCTACCAGTTTGAGGAGTTCCCCATTTCTATCATCCATTTGGAAGCTCATCAGCTCTCCCAGAAGGCATGGGAGCCCTTCAACACCCCCATCAGACTAGGACTACCCATCTCCCCCATCAGATTAGAAATGCATTGTCTCACACATCATAATGTTGCTCCTTACCTTCCCTGACAGACTGGAAATACAGACTGGACACTCGTTCTTGCTGCAGGGGGCTGGAGCTTCTTATCTGCTTCACTGGATTTGGACAATCCTGTCTCCCTCATGGGATTTGGTGAGAGCTCCTTAGTTTACTTATTTTTCTCACTGTGCTGGGCCACCTTGTCCCCCACCATCAGATTGGGGAACACCTTGTCTCCCAGTCAGACCAGAGGGTTGGACTCCTCCGCCCTTGCAAAGGTTCCTGAGTCCTTCTTACATCCATAGAAGGAACCATGCCTATTTTTCCAAGAGGGAAACTGAGGCACAGAGAAGCAAATACCACTTCTCTGTCGAGCTGCAGATGCCTCCCCCTCCTCCTCCGCCGGCTGCTCTGCCCCCACCCTCTCCCGCCCCCGCCCCTGCCCTGGGTAACTCCCCTGGCACCGGGAGTAGGGGAATTTTGCCCTGCTGGCCTCTGCACCAACCACCTCCCCTTATCGGCAGCGTCGCCAGCCACCGGTGGCAGCCCAGGGTTAAAGTCCGGAGACAGCTCGGGCGCAAAGCGGATAGGGAGGGAGGAGTGGCGCCCAACCCAGAACGGGGACTCCCCGGAGGTCGAGCTCTCACGCTGCTGGGAGCAGAGGGGATGGGCAGGGCCGTGTCCCGTGGTAAGGTGTGGGTTCAATTCTTCTTTTCTAGTGTGGTCTTGAACCTGGAACTTCACCCCCACTGGGAGCCTCAGCTTCTCCAGCTTTAAGGAGTCAGGTGTGTGAAAACGCCCCAGCTCTGGAGTCAGACTCCAGGCGTTTGAATGCTGGCTCCTATAACCTGCTGTGTGAGATCTGGGGCCATCGAGCGCGTCTCTCTCAGCCTCAGTTTCCCCAGTTGTGCAATGAGGATCCCTACTGGGTGGTGGTGAAGGCTCCATGAGTTCACGCACAAGAAAACCTTGGGACAGTGGCTGATAGTGGCGTCAGCAAGCCAGCATGCACCCCACCCTTTCCTTCCAAGAAAATTGCCTCCTAAACCTATGGTTGGTAACCTTCACCCCTCCCTCTTTGACCCACCTCCTAACCCAGGCCACCTGGTGTCTTGCTACACAGCTGGTCTCCCTGCCCGCACCACAGCCAGAGGCGTCTTTGGAAACCCAATCCTGACCCCTGCTCAGAATCTGCCATGGCTCTCCAGTGCCCCCAGGAGAAAACCAAGTGCTGTACCACAGCCACAGCCTGACCACTCGCTGCCTGTATTTTCTTTCTCTTTCTTGCTTTCTCTTTTTTTTTTTTTTAAAGACAGGGTCTTGCTCTGGCCCCAGGCTGGAGTGCAGTGGCGCCGTCATAGCTCACTGCAGCCTCAACCTCCTGGGCTCAAGTGATCCTCCCACCTCAGCCTCCTGAGTAGCTGAGACTACAGGCACATGCCACCACACCTGGGTAAATTTTTTAATTTTTTTTTTTTTTAGAGATAGGGTCTCACTCATTGCCCAGGCTGGTCTTAAACTCCTGGGCTCAAGCCATCCTCTCACCTCAGCTTCCCAAAATGCTGGGACTACAGGTATGCACCACTGCGCCCAGCCTCCTTTCTGGTTTCCTAATAAAGCCTTTTGTTCACCTCCTTCAAACACTTCCCCGCACTCTTCAGGTCTCAGCTCAAACAGGGCAGGCCCGGTCCCCTGGGTCCTCTCTGTCCTCCCTCTCCTGGTTCCCTGTACCTCTCCAAAAGCCCCCATCACCGAAAGAAGTAAAGATGTGGGGCCGGGCGTGGTGGCCCACACCTGTAATTCCCAGCACTCTGGGAGGCTGAGGTAAGTGGATCACCTGAGGTCACAAGAATTGATTGAACCCCAGAGGCAGACGTTGCAGTGAGCTGAGATTGCGCCACTGGACTCCAGCCTGGGCGACGGACAGACTCCATCTCAAAAAAAAAAAAAAAATTGGCCGGGCAAGGTGGCTTATGCCTGTAATCCCAGCACTCTGGGAGGCCAAGGCAGGCAGATCACTTGAGCCCAGGAGTTCGAGACCAGCCTGGGCAACATGGTGAAAATCCCATCTCTGCAAAAAATACAAAAATTAGCTGGGCATGGTGGTGCCTCTACTAAAGAATACAAAAATTAGCTGGGTGTGGTGGAATGCACCTGTAATCCCAGCTACTCAGGAGGCTAAGGCATGAGAATCACTTGAATCCGGGAGGTGGAGACTGCAGTGAGTCAAGATCACGCGACTGCACTCCAGCCTGTGTGACAATGCAAGATTCTCTCTTAAAAAAAAAAAAAAGTCCCCACTCTGGTCCAGCCACCATCACGGACGGCCTGGACCATGCAGTCACCTCCTCACGGGTCTCCCTGCCTGGGTCCTTGCCGCGTGCCCGAAGGGACCTGTCTTTCCCCTACATGCAGCCACAGGGATCCTGTTAACACCTAAGTCATCAGGAGGCTGAGGTGGGAGGATTGCTTGAGTCCAGGAGGTCGAGGCTGCAGTGAGCCAAGATGGCACCACTGTACTCCAGGCTGGGCAACAGAGTAAGACCCTGTCTCTAAACAATAATAATAACAACAAATTAAATTAAATTGAAACCTGGCCTGGGCGTGGTGGCTCATGCCTGTAATTCCAGCACTTTGGGAGGCCGAGGCAGGTAGATCACCTGAGGTCAGGAGTTGGCCAACATGGTACGTGGCCAACATGGCGAAACCCTGTCTCTACTTTAAAAATATAAAAATTAGCTGGGCGTGGTGGCGCATGCCTGTAATTCCAGCTACTCAGGAGGCTGAGGCAGGAGAATCGCTTGAACCTGGGAGGCGGAGGTTGCAGTGAGCCGAGATAGCATCACTGCACTCCAGTCTGGGCAACAGAGTGAGATTCCATCTTAAAAAAAAAAAAAAAAAAAAGTCAGATTATCCCTCCCCTGCCCAGAACCCTCCATGGCTCCCATCTCCCTCTGAGTAAAAGCCTACGTCCCTACAGTGGCTCATAAGATCCTGATCCATCTCCTTGCCACCATCTCCCCCGCCATCCTCCCTTCCACTCTCCCCCAGCTCATTCTGCTCCAGCTACACTGGCCTCAAAGAGCCGTTCCGACCCACCTCTGGGCCTTGGCACTTGCTGTTCCCTCTGCCTAGAACACGCTTCCCCCAGATGTCCACATGGTTCATTCCCTCCCCTCCCTCAAGTCTTAGCCCCAAACGTCATTCCTTGGAGGGCCTCCCTTGGCCGCTGGATTTAAATAACAGCTTCGACTTCCTACCCTCCATCTCCCTCATTCCCTCACCAGCTTTATTTTTCTCCATAGCAGATACCTGCCATTGGCTGTATTTTCCTTGTCTTGTTGACTGTCTCCTGGATGGATGGAAGAGTCTGTGACTCCCCAAGGGCAGGAATCTTATTTGGTTAACACCGGGGCATGGCCTGAAAAACCTGTTAGCAGAGTGAATGAATCGGATGTGTTTGTTTTGAAAAGGTAAGGCGTTCACAAGTTCCAAAATTCAAAAAGGACCAAATGGCAGTGAGCAGTCGCTTCCCTACTACGACTCTGCCCGTCCCCTCCCCAGTCCCGTTCTCACCTCCCAGTTTCTGTTCTTTTTCTTTTTCTTTTCTTTTTTTTTTTTTTTTTTTGAGACAGGGTCTCACTCTGTCACCCAGGCTGGAGTGCAGTGGTGCCAGCATAGCTCACTGCAGCCTCAACCTTCTGGACTCAAATGACCCTCCCACCTCAGTGGCCCTAGTAGCTGGGACCACAAGCACGCACCACCATGCCCAACTAATTTTTATATTTTTGGTAGAGACGGGGTTTCACCATGTTGCCCTGGCTGATCTCGAACTCCTGGGCTCAAGGGATCCATCCATCTTGCCCTTGCAAAGTGCTGGGATTACAGGTGGGAGCCACTTCGCCTGTAATCCATGTGTCCTTCCCTCTTTATGCAAATTGTGCACGGTCTTGCTGTGGCCTGCATCTTCCCCTAGCAATACAGCAATACATCTGGAAGATCACACCGCATCAGCACCAGAAAAGCTTCCTCCTTCTTTTTTTTTTAATAGTTGCACGCACAGTGTCGACTGGTGGACAGAAGACAGCTCTTGCCGCAATTGTTATTATATTTCAGGACGGGTGTGGCTTGATGCCGAGGAGCTCAGCATCATCTCTCAGACCCGGACTCACGTCGTAGCTCTACAGCCAGAACTTCCACAGGCTGCTGGTGGCATGCAAGCCCCGAGCAGCCACTTTGGAAAATGGTTTGCCAACTTCCCGCAAGATTAAATATACACTTCCCATAGGACCCAACAATTTTATTCCTTGGTATTGACCCGAGATAAATGAAAACTTATTTTCACACACAAAAAAACTGTATGCACACACTCACAGCAGCTCTGTTCATAATTGCCAACAACTGTAAACAACCCAAATGTCCTTCAGCTTGTACGTGCGTAAGTGAGCTGTGGTCCATCCACAGAGTGGAATATCACTCGGCAATGAAGAGGAACTGCTATCGATACACACAACATGGATGAACCTCAACTGTGTTATGCTGAGTGAAAGAAGCTAGGCTAAAAAATTACAGTATTCAGCCGGGTGCGGTGGCTCACGCCTGTAATCCCAGCACTTTGGAAGGCCGAGGTGGGAGAATTGCTTGAGCCCAGGAGTTTGAGACCAGCCTAGGCAACATGGTGAGACCCCATCTTTATAAAAATAATGATGATGATGATGATGACGATGATTATAATGATAATAACTACATTACTCCATTTACAAGACATTCTGGAAAAGGCAAAATTATAGGGACAGAAAACAGACCTGTGGTTGCCAGGGGTGGGGTGGGGGATGGGCATGACCCCAAAAGGGCAGATGAGGGGTTTTAGGAGTGGTTGGACATATCCATATTTTGATTCTGCTGGTGACTACACAACCACATGAGCCTGTCAAAGCTTAAAGAACTGCATGCCCCACAGGCACTTCGGGAGGCCAAAGCAAGAGGCCAGGAGTTGAAGACCAGCCTGGGCAACATAGTGAGACCCCCATCTCCACCAAAAATACAAAAATTAGCTGTGCGTGGTGGCGTGCACTTGTAGTTCCAGCTAATGAGGAAACTGAGGCAGGAGAATCGCTAGAGCCTGAGAGGTTGAGGCTGCAGTGAGTGGTGACAGCACCACTGCACTCCAGCCTGGGTGACAGAGTGAGACCCTTCTTCAAAAAAAAAGAAAAAAAATGCACACTGAAAAGAGCGAATTTTACTGTAGGTAAATTTGTTAATGATTTTTTATTTTTATTTTTATTTTTTATTTATTTTTTTTTTTTTTTTGGAGACAGAGTCTCGCTCTGTAGCCTGGGCTGGAGTGCAGTGGCCGGATCTCAGCTCACTGCAAGCTCCGCCTCCCGGGTCTACGCCATTCTCCTGCCTCAGCCTCCCGAGTAGCTGGGACTACAGGCGCCCGCCACCTCGCCCGGCTAGTTTTTTGTATTTTTTAGTAGAGACGGGGTTTCACTGTGTTAGCCAGGATGGTCTCGATCTCCTGACCTCGTGATCCGCCCGTCTCGGCCTCCCAAAGTGCTGGGATTACAGGCTTGAGCCACCGCGCCCGGCCAATGATTTTTTATTTTTAAAGGACTACGTATTCTGTAATCCCATTTACATGTCATCCTGGAAAAGCAAAGTTATAGGGATAAAAAGCAGCCAGGTGTGGCGGCTCATGCCTGTAATCCCAGTACTTTGGGAGGCTAAGGCAGGTGGATCACTTGAGGTCAGGAGTTCGAGACTAGCCTGGTCAACATGGTGAAACCCCATCTCTACTAAAAATACAAAAATTAGCCAGGCGTGGTGGCCGGCACCTGTAATACCAACTACTCAGGAGGCCGAGGCAGGAGAATCTCTGGAACCCAGGAGGTGGAGGTTGCAGTAAGCCGAGATCGTGCCATTGCACTCCAGCCTGGGTGACAGAGCAAGACTCCATCTCAAAAAAAAAAAAAAAAAAAGGGCAGATGTAGCTGGGCATGGTGGCTCATGTCTATAATCCCAGAACTTTGGGAGGCTCAGGCAGGTAGATCACTTAAGGTCAGGAATTCGAGATCAGCCTGGCCAACATGGTGAAACCCCATCTCTACTAAAAATACAAAAATTAACCAGACATGGTGGCGTCTGCCTGTAATCCCAGCTACTGGGGAGGCTGAGGCAGGAAAATCACTTGAACCTGGGAGGCAGCGGCTGCAGCAAGCCAAGATTGCGCCCCTGCACTCTAGCCTGGGTGACACAGCAAAACTCTGTCTCAAAAAAAAAAAAAAAAGAAAAAGAAAAAAGAAAAGAAAAGAGGCCGGGCGCAGTGACTCATGCCTGTAATCCCAGCACTTTGGGAGGCCGAGGCGGGCAGATCACGAGGTCAAGAGATTGATACCATCCTGGCTAACACGGTGAAACCCCATCTCTACAAAAAATTCAAAAATTAGCCAGGCGTGGTGGCAGGCACCTGTAGTCCCAGCTACTTGGGAGGCTGAGGCAGGAGAATTGCTTGAACCCAGGAGGCAGAGGTTGCAGTGAGCAGAGATCACCCCACTGCCCTCCAGCCTGGCAATAGAGGGAGACTCCATCTCAAAAAAAAAGGGGGGGGAAAGAAAAGAAAAGAAAAAGTAGATTGGTGGCTGCCAGGGTCTGAGGACAACGGGAGATGACTGCAAGGACGGCACAGGGGACCTTTTCTGGGTGCTAGAAATGTTCTACATCTTGATCAGCATATGATTAAATGATTGTACATGTTTATCAGAACTCATCTAACATACTTCTTCTTTAATTTAATTTTAATTAATTTAATTGATTTATTTTTGAGAGAGTCTCGCTCTGTCACCCAGGCTGGAGTGCAGTGGCAAGATCGCAGCTCACTACGATCTTCACCTCCTGGGTTCAAGTGATTCTTGTGCCTCAGCCTCCCAAGTAGCTGGGATTATAGGCATGCGCCACTATGCCCAGCTAATTTTTTTATTTTTTGTAGAGGTGGGGTCTCGCCATGTTGCCCAGGCTGGTCTCAAACTCCTGGGCTCAAGTGATCTGCCTGCCTTGGCCTCCAAAGTGCTGGGATTACAGGCATGAGCCACCATGCCCGGCCAAACACACACAGTTGAAACAGGTGTATTTTATTGTATGTTAATTATACCTCAATACAGTTGATTTTCAAAATCTAAATTACTGGCCTGGTGCGGTGGCTCAGGACCGTAATCCCAGCACTTTGGGAGGCTGAGGCAGGAGGATCGCTGGAGCCCAGGAGTTCAAGACCAGTCTGGGCTGCCTGGCAAGACCCTGTCTCTACAAAAAAAAAAAAAAAAAAAAGCAAAAACTAGCAGGGCATGGTGGCACATGCCTGTAGTCCCAGCTACTCAGGAGGCTGAGGTGGAAGGATCACCTGATCCCCAGGAGGTGTAGGCTGCAGTGAGTCCTGATTGCACCACTGCACTCCAGCCTGGGTGACAGAGTGAGACCCCGTCTCAAAAAACAAACAAACGCTGGGCGCGGTGGCTCACGCCTGTAATCCCAGCACTTTGGGAGGCCGAGGTGCGTGGATCACGAGGTCAGGAGATTGAGACCATCCTGGTTAACATGGTGAAACCCCGTCTCTACTAAAAATATAAAAAATTAGCCGGGCGTGGTAGCAGGCGCTTGTAGTCCCAGCTACTCAGGAGGCTGAGGCAGGAGAATGGCCTGAACCCAGGAGGCAGAGCTTGCAGTGAGCCGAGATCGTGCCACTGCACTCCAGCCTGGGCGACAGAGCGAGACTCTGTCTCAAAAAACACACACACACACTTAGCTCCTCTTCCCCTTATTGGCTGTGTGACCTTAGACAAAGCTCCTAACTTCTCTGTGCCTGGGTAAAGGATGAGGAAGTTGGGGAGGAGGGAATGATCACTGAGGGCAGGTGCTGAGGTCTCAGGTCTCACTGTGGATTCACAATGCAAGAAACGTTTGCATTTGAAACAGAGGGGCTTTATGAGCTTTTAGAGTGGAACTAGAGACAAAGACCTGAGCAGCTGACAATGGCTTCTGTGTCTCAGGAGGGCGGGCGGTGGGCTGAGCACTGTCAGGACCTCACCTGCATCCCTTTGAACCATCGGGCACTCCTTTGCTGACCTGGAAAAGTGAGTAGAGCCATCCTGGGGTCCCAGAGGAATGGCATTGAGGGCACACAATTAACAGTAGCCTTGTGAACAGTCAGACGGGCTTCACAGCCCGTACCTAGAGGCCTCTGCTGTTTGGGGCAGTGCTGGATACACACAGCAGTGACAGCCCCAGGCCTGCCCTCACAGGTTCACACATGGGGAAGACTGGTCCATCCCTCCGCAGACAGTCGCATCCCAGAATGTTGGGGCTGGCAGGGTCAGGGGGCTCCTGACTCAGACTGGAAAGAAAAATCAGGGAGGGCTTCCTGGAGGAAAGGCTGTCAGAGCTGGAGCCTGATGTGTTTACTGAGCACTTACCATGTGACCTGGTTTGGATCTCCAAGAAAGAGGCATAGTTTTGAGGTTGAAGTGAAAGGGGTATGTATGCAAGGAGGATGGCGGGGGAGAGGCCTTGGCTAAGAGGCAGAAAGGGCTGTGGGTGGGACAGAGCCGGAGGGATAAGGCTGAAGGGACACGGTACCTGGCGTGGGTCCTCTGCAGCAGGATCTTGGACTTTCTCCCAATGATGGGGCTCAGGAAGAAGCAGCTTCCTCAAGTTTCATCCTGTGCAAAGGGAGGACCAGGCAGGAGGAGGTGGGGAGGCCAAGGAAAGGCCATGGAAATGAGAAGGGGCTATAAGAGACACCTGGGGGAGGGGACACAGGGAGGGTGAGAAGACCTGGGCCCCCACTCCTTTCTCTTCTCTGTTCTAACTCTGAGCCAGACGGCATTGGCCGGACAGCTTCCTCGTTTCTAAAAGTTTAAGATAGAGGGCTGGCGAGGTGGTGCATGCCTGTAGTCCCGGTGCTTTGGGAGGCCCAGGCAGGTGGATCACTTGAGCCTCCTGTTTGGAGCTGTAGTGAGCTATGATCACATCACTGCACTCCAGCCTGGGTGACAGAGCAAGACCCCATATCTAAAAATAATAATAATAATGAATAATAAATAAAAATTTAAGATAGTGAATCTGGCCATGCACAGTGGCTCATGCCTGTAATCCCAGCACTTTGGGAGGCTGAGGTGGGCAGATCACCTGAGGTCAGGAGTTCGAGAACAGCCTGGCCAACATGGCAAAACCCCGTCTCTACTAAAAAACACAAAAAAATTAGCTGGGCGTGCTAGCACGCACCTGTAGTCCCAGCTACTCA